TTAAATATGCTTGTTAACTAGTGCATTAGCTATGGTTAGCCGTATTTTATGAGCTTGTTTGCTGTTCCATCGTGCTTTGGAGCCTTTCTATTTCTCAGTTTCGTTAGAGCTTCTATTGCTGTCATTTAGCTGTGATGGTTCACGTGTATCAGATCTTTCATTTCTGTTCTTTGCTTTCTTATGAATCTTTATATTTTTTTTCCATCATATCATAGGAAAATTAGGAAATATGTGGTCAGGGAGAATCTGGAGAAAATGGGAATGAGACAATGAGAAATAGTGACAAAGGACCGACGAGCGTAGAAGGCAATATAAACGCGACAAATTCTCACGAAGAGTTGTAACGCCATTGATGGTATGATGAAAGCCTATGTTATCTGAAGTTAGGTAGATATTTCTTGAAAGTGATAATGTCAAATATTATTTTTATTATTGAATATTAACTTCTTTTGATCAGCGTTTGGCAACTTTATTAGTAGCAAATTGTTCTTTTAATTGTGTCTTATTTGGATTTGCAATTAAGGCGATATAATCTGCAACTTTTACAATTTACAATGAACTTTGATAGTTTTGGTGATGTGAGATAAAAGTGGCGCCTAATAATGAAACCTTCGGCTATTTCCGATCAATATGAGATGGCAAATGGCGTACCTAGTTGATTAGATTGAACAGTTTACTCATGTAAATTTCTTTTGTTATAATTGACTATAATACAATTTACTATTTTTTATTGGAAATATAAAATAAGTTTATTTTAACGTTTCGATTTCCATTTCGGAAATTTTTAAGAACGTTTTTCCCAAGTTGAAATCGATAAACTTATTTTAAAGTACACGTGTGGCTTATTTCCCATTATTTTTGTCATTGTTTTGTTGATATTATTGTTGTTAGCTTTTAAAGTCTTATGTATCATAGCATATTTTGTGATATTTTAAGTAATATTTTAAAATGGCGGACGAGCGCCATTTTGTAAAATTATTTTAATCGCGATCATATGCCAACTAATACTTTCAATCATGTGAACTCTCTTATGTCATTCGGTATCTTTCTAGATTTATGTAACATTATGTGGCGCCATTTAAAAATAATGACTGTGCAATGTTCAATAGAGATAGCGCTGAAAAATATGCACTACCCCTAGTAGTTTGATCGTTTTCGATAACGAAAATGCAAAAAGCGTTTGAGCATTTTGGTTAATTTTTTCAGTTTCTCATATTCTGATATACATTTTTTATAAAAGATATATGGAATGTAATATATCGATCATATATGGAATGTAATAAATATACCATCTGAAAGCTCTTGTGCTGCTCAGTAACCAAATATCTTCTTCTTCAATTGATATGTCCGTTAGTAATGATCATTTCCACTCTAGGTTTCTAACTTTCAAAACAGTTGTTTTAAAGGCCTGTTTTGAGCTGCAACCATACATATCATTCTCTTAGGTTCCTTCAACCTATATTGTCTGGCTGGTCGTGAACCTAAGACCAAAAAAAATTCTCTTAGGTTTTTTAGACTATGCTATTCGTCTTCCCACACTCCAAAGGGTTGTGGCATGTTATGACTGGGGATTTGTCCCTTGTTGTTAAGTATATTTGACAGCTATTTTAAATAAAGCATTTTATGTTTTTGCTTAAAAGAGCAATTTAAATGTAGACATAAAAATTGTATGCCAACGTTTAATTATTGCTATACTTTAAAAAGTTTTATCGAATTAATCTTCTTCAATAGCTATAGTACGAGCGGTCAGAGTGCAGTTGGAGAATGTCAGAGAATGGTCCGGGATGCGGAGAGTCGAATAACTCTTCAGAATAGCTCAATATAGAGTCTTGCCGTGTTAATCGCCACGTCAAGGGGACTTAATATGACACGTTCAAAAGAAGAAGAACGTTGCATAAAAGGCGGCTCCTAGTTAGATCTTATATATTCCTCTAAGGGAGAGCGCCCACCAAACTGGCATGGCAAGTAGCAAGTAGCGCGCGTCTAGCATGTTACGTAAAATGTAACCAATGAAAACGAATGATTCAGCGCACATTTAGTGCCATAAATCATACGGTGTCTTTTACGGTGTCCCTGCTTGTGGGTTTCATGAAGTATTTTTCCGTTTACACGTCCCACTTTTTTTGATTAAATCCACCCTGTTCAAAATCCGCTGCATGCATCTTCTTCTAGTTCCCATTGTTGTGTATTACCGATCCTGGTTGAGTAGTAACTTTATTATATTATTCATAACAATATTTTGTCTTTGGTCTATAAAAGTTTGAATCATTTTACTTCAGACGTATGTTTCACTGCTATAGGTATGTCAATATTTGCTGCGGAAACTATATCACCATCTGCATGACTGAAACACCATCATTTGCTACTCGTTATTTCATTCGTTATTATTCCATGGTAAATAATATTTTTTAATTTTCAGATATCTGGAAATATACTTTATAGGCATCTTTTACTGGACTATAATCTTTACCGTATAAGTTTGACGTAGTATCTACATCAAATAATTGATAACACGAAAGTATAGTAATTGCGGACATTGCTAAGAGAAAATTTTCCTTTAGATTAAGGAAAATCTAATGGATGGTTATTTGTTCGGTAGTCGTAAATACATCGGATGAAATTTAATAAAAAATTGTATCATAGTTTGACGTATTAGGGATTAGTCATCTCATGATATTATTAATGCGTTGTAAACAGAATATTATTTATATTTCAAAAGATAAGTTGTTTAAATTTGTGTTTTTTTGTTATCTTGTCATTAACTATTTTAAGGGAAAGATAACCAAAACTTGTGCTATGAATGTGTGCTTGTCCTAGGATACCTTTTTTTAAAGTTTATAGTTTTTTTTTAAACTGTTTAAAAAATAAATAATTAAAGGATATACATTGACTGGTCGTCGGCGGATTCAATTATAATTTTATGCTTGATTAAAACTGTTGGCTAAATGTCTGCTAGTTTTCATTGGTGGATGCTAACATTCGTATCAACTTTGTTTAATCTACCCTTTTAGTCCATCTGGAATCTCCTTTCTAAGTAGTCCATCTGTTGCCACGTGGGTTTTAGTCTACTTCATTTGCATGGTACCATTCTGTCCTCGTGATCTCCTTATCAACCATATTTTCTTTATACGGTTCTTTTCTTTTTAACACTTTTCTTCATTGTAACCCTTCTTTTATAGTTACCCTAAATATTGATTCCTTTGAGTATAAAATTCATTATCTTTGATTATACAAGAACAATTTAACATCATAGTTAATTCATAATACCGTAGATTAAGCGTAGATTCAGTTCTATTCAACAGTATATAGTTTGTTTTTGTAGTTGTATCTACCAGTATAACGTAGAAAGACAGGTTTATTTTATATGTATTTCTGATTAGTAGGAAAGAAACATAAAATGACTGAAAACCAACAGAAAATATCTGAAATCCAAGACAGAATACCTATGAGATCAACAAACAATGAAAAACGCTAAAAAGCTGTCTCTTCGTTTCATGCAAAGATATCTTAAAAGAGCCGATAGTACCGAAAGATAATTAAATGACAAAAATGAAAGATAATTAAGCCAAGAACAAAGGCAGTCACAAATACAAAATTATTAACAATGAGATCAGTAAAAAGATAAATAGAGATAGAACAAACTTACTTTGAGGAAAAATTTAAAGAGGTATAATTATCTTCAGAACAAATACGATCTATTCAACCTATGTAAAAAGGTTAAAGAAATGACAGGATTGCAAAAAAAAACACATTAGATAAAAACGGGAACAGCATGATAACGACTGACGAAAGACTAAAGCGATGAAAAGAATATATTGAAGATTCAAAGACAAAGGAGGAAACATACAAGACATATCTTTAGCAGAAAAAGAACAAGTAAAGAAATCACAAAAACAAGCGAAGAAAGATAATAAGATTATAGCTGTATTTGAAATGTTCTGCTGGAGACGAATGCTGAGAATACTATGGGTGACCAGAAGAACATATGAATCTATACCAGCTAAACATAAAGAAATTACTAAGAACACAAATATAAGAACAAATAATAACACTATTTTGAACTTATAATAACACTTTTAGAAGGCAAAAGAAGTCGAGGTAGATATTGTTGCTACTATGGGCTCTCCATTGTTAGAATTTACTAGAATGACAAAAGATAGAAAGACGTGGAGCAACATTGGAAAAATCTGCTAATAGCTTTATCTGTATCACGATATCTCTATCAGTTTAAGGACTAAGAAGAAGAAGAAGAAATATGATTAGTTAATATTCTGTTTTATTTGTCCCAGCCAAGCTCATTTGAGAATAAGCCTTAACAATTGGCATCCAAATAAAGTTTTGAGTTTTATTGATACACATTGACTCCCAACTTTCAAAGGCTAGTTATATTGTTACAACACATATTTATATTGATGTATTCACTGCAAGACGAAATTTAATCTTTTATTTTAAGTTACTTTTGCTAGCAAGTTGTTATTGCTATACCGTCTTACTAAAATAGATCCAAAAATTACAAATATGTAAGGTATATGCAAAAGATCTGTCAAGTCTTAGTGTGGAAAGATCTACGACTCCTTTATCTACAATATATGCGCTTTAAAGACCACATTTTAACATTATGACGTGGATAGAAAATGTCTGCGTTGATATTTAAAAATTTTTGTTTGTGGGTAATGTTTGGACCTCATACGATGTTTTATTTTTGGTTGAAAAAATGTAACTATACTTATAAAACTTAGTATAAGTATAGTATAAGTAGTATAAGTACTAAACCCTTTGAATTATAGGAATTTGCATAACAGAACAAATTACTGTGGTACTATAAGTCATTGCCCACCAAATAATGAAAGGTAACTAACTAAGCAGTTGTGAATAGACTTTGATTTTTTATCAAAGACCTACTAAATTCAGAGTAATGACTAAACAAACACAAACTTTCAAAATATAGAATGACTTCTACAAAACTTTTTTCATATAACTTATGGTTAACGTTTTCTTTTTCAGGCACAAAATAGCAAAAGCTGTATTAGACGAATTTCGAAGATGGCCTCCAGAAACTTTACTACAAGACTTACCAGAAATTATGAAAGTTCTTACATCGACAGCTGATGGTGAGTAAACCTTTAAAAGATCTCCATTTTTTACGATATACGATGAGATCAATCAAATTTCTTATTTGAAAAATTTTTTTCCACGACGCGACCTACACATTCTTGGTAAATCGATGTTTTCTTCCCCCTTCCCCCTACGAAGGGTGTTTGTTGGATGAAGCCCGGAGGTAGGAGTAGCAAACATTTTTGCATCTTTTTTGGGTCCCAAAATTGACATTGTCAGCAAAATTCAGCTTGTGCGTATGATTTTTAGAGGTTCAGTGGCATTTTCGTCTCTGAGGACTGCAGTAGAAGATGAAAAAAGGATCTTAGTGCGGCCTACTGGGAAAATAGTAAAATAGTAGAAAGGAGTCGGGGTCTGTTGAATTCTTTAGAAGGATTGCGACTCATTTACTAGCGCGATTCTTGTTTGTTCTATTACGAACTGTTAAATTTTTTACTTTACGAAAACAGTTAAATTTCTTTGGTGAATATACATTAGAAGGAGCAAAATTGTAAGCATATTATTTGTGGATATTGGATAGTACTCTGACTGAATGATTTGTAGCATGGGTAAACGATAAAATAGTTCATCAATATTCTACTGTAATATTGAGTTTAAAATTATACTTCGAGGGAGGATAATTTACTCGAGTCATCACTCGAGTGATGACCCTCTTTGCCTAGATAGTGTTGCAATTTGGTTTTAACTTTGGTGAAACGATGTTTCTTAGTTTTGTCTAATACATACTAATATTCAGTCATGAGATTTCTTAGACAAAAAAAGTTGGATGTCAAGTTACTCTGTCAGGCCTCTCAACATTGTTTCTATTTTATCTTGCCCACGGTATTTCTCTCCTCCTGCTTTCTATGAACCACCTAGTAGTACGACCATATTTGACCATATGTTATAATTTTAGGCTTCTTTATACTATAATCTTCATAGTACTACTTTAATTTACTGCGTGGTTGATTCTTCTTTTATATCCTCACTCTTTATCCCTCCTAAAATGCTTCTTCAGCATTTTCAATTCCCATCTTTCTAGCCGCTACTCCTAACTTTATTTAACAGCGATATTTGAGTTAAAAAGTATATGCTGTACTAATATTAAATAACTTTTTTTTAATCTTCCCATTCTGTGAAATTATTTTCGTAAAATAAATCTTTAAATGTAGTATCATCATTCTGGCTTTACAACCCTGTATGGTTCCTAGCCTCCTTAAGAATTTCTCCCCAGTCGTCCCTATCCATCGCCTTTCTCAGCCAAACACGTATTCTCATATTTCTCATGTCTTCATCGATGTTATCAAGGAACCTTGTTCTGGGTTTTCCTCTTCTTCTCTGACCAATGGGTCTATCAAGGAGCGTTTTTCCTGCTGGGACATTTTGTTCCATTCGCATTACATGCCCTATCCACCTCAGACGTCCTATCTTAATATGTTTTACGATATCAGGGCTCCTAGTATATTCTATTACGTTCTAAGTTGTATCGTCTTCTCCACATTTCATTGTCATTTACTGCTCCATAAATTCGCTTTAGTACTTTTCTTTCGAAACATTTCTTTCTTTAAATGTAGTAACAATCTAAAATTCTTTCAACAGTTTTCAACTTTTTTGTTATTAGTTGAATTCTTCATTATTCCTTTTACCACTTTGTCCTTAGCTCTAATAAAAGTAACATCCGTATCCACAAATTAGATAAAGACGAGAAATTTCTATAGTTTTTATTGTGCGAAAATCTGGATAATGCAGGTTAAACACTATATTCGTATTTCTTAAGGTTCGTCTTAACTTTTATTAATTATTTTCGTTTAATTTTCGATAGGATAGATTTGATTTCAATTTTCGGCAAAACAAAAAACAAATTACTTTCGACACATCAAGTTGGTCGACGTATGATTTGTATCCTGAGTATTGATACATTTTCGTATCGAATATCGAAGTTGTGGGAATTTATCTGCACAATTACTTCCATTAATCATAAATTGATTAGATCACCTGAGGTCCTGAGGCATGTAAATATAACAGTTCCGTCGTTTAACAAGGGAAGGGCCAATATGCATGATTTTAATTGATGCGAAATTGAATTACATGTTAAATCTATAGAATTGCCTCTTACCAGTTCTGTATCTGTCATTTTGGGTTTCACAAGTTTGTAAATAACTGCAATTATACATTTACACCCAAAAGGCTTGGCATATTATATATTATAAAATTAATTAAAAAAAAAACGAACAAATACACCAAACTAAAACCATATTCTGCTAAACTAGCTATCCTAAACAGTTTAGTTACCCTTACTCAGTGAATCTTGTCATGTGCAATTTTTTGTATAACACATTTGCGTAAACTAGAGGTAAAATGATTTTTCGAATAAGTGGCTAATATCTCAAGGAAGTAGATATTTTCATCTATGAAATTTGACTAATCTATTATGAAAACAAAACTAATTATCGATAAAACGATCATAAGATCAATAGTTCTCTATGGTGCTGAACTTTGGTAAATAAACCAAAAGAAGCAAGTAATGTTGAAAATTTGGGAAAAGGAAAGTGCTTACTAAAATATATGAAATAAGGAAGGATGAATATGTTTCAGGAGGTCCAACATTGAACTGATGTAGCTATACGGCAAGCTCTGATCACAAACATCAAATGCCACCATAAATAGTATAAATAAGGTAAAAAAATAAACAGAATTATTTTAAATAACATACCGGCATATTTATGTTTCGTGGACCGTAAGAAGGCATTTGACCGAGTAAAAGACGTTATCCACTTACTGTATGCAAGAGAGATACCTCTAGGAATAATCAAAACGATCGAAAATATCTACCAAAACAACACAATAAAAGTAAAAGTAGAAGAAGAACTAATCGACCCTATTGAAGCTGGCAATGGGATAATACAGGGAGATTCCCTTGGTCCTCTATTGTTGAACCTGATTATGGATGAAATAATAAAAAAAAAATAAGAACTAAGAAAGGATACAAGATGGGAGAAACACAAATTAAAATAATCTGCTATCCAAACGACGAAACTACTCTCTCAAAGTGAAGATTATTTACAATGTATGCTGCACCAATTTAATATAAACGCCAGAAAATTTAACATGTTAATTTACCCAAAAAAGACAAAATGCGTGGTTACAACAGCAAATTTACTAAAATGTAAATTGGATCTGGAAGGTCAGATAGTAGAACAAGTGATGAAGTGTAAATATCTAGGCATCACATGATCTAGCTAAGGAAAGCTCGAAACTGAAGTGGAAGAACAAGTGAAGAGAGCAAACAGAGCCCCAGGCTGCCTGAATGAAATAATATGGAGGAATAAAAATATCGGAAAAGAAACGAAAGACAGAATTTACAAAACAGTCATCAGACCAATAATGACATACGCGACAGAAACAAGACCTGACGCAGAGAGGACAAAAAGGGATGTTAGAAACAGCAGAGATGAAAACACTTAGAAAAATTGATGGTCAGACACTATGGGACAGAGCTAGAAGTACAGATATACGACGTAGATGCAAGGTGGAGAACATCATGAACTGGGCAAGAAATAGAAGAGTAGAATGGAATGATCATATAAGCCAACAAATAGAGTAGTGAAGACGGCAAGAGACGGTTCTCCGATAGGAAGACGATCAGTAGGAAGACCACGAAAACGGTGGAACGACAACTTACTGGAGGCACATTGAAAAGGCACATGTCTATATAAAAAGAAGAAGATTTGAAATAATAATCAAGCCGTTATTAGTGTTTTACATCTACTTTTTTTCAGCTTTTGACGTCTGTTGTATTCATATAAGGCTCAATTGAATCCTTTAATATCTTATTAAGATTATTTTTTAGTTCCTTAATTGTGCTGTGTGCATAGATTTATTTTTGGTTTGAGGAGTATTCCATTTCTTCTAGACTGTTTATTCTTTTCTTTCCTATTCATTTTAATTTTGGTTTTGCTTGATTTGATGTTTTTCGTTCACTGATTTTATGAAGTATAAATTTTTTCATTACCACGTTTATTAACACATTTGTGATAACAAAACACCAGAATACAAATACAAAGATAAAAGTCGGCATAAAAATGTTATAAACTGGCAACATACCATAGCATGTTACATAAATTAATAGAAATTCCCATGTCAAAAAACAACTTCGAGATAGAATTGAATATCATTAGACAAATCTTCTTCTTCCTATGCCGTCCCCATTAACGGAGGTTGGCGACCACATTTTTAAAATCTTCTCTGTCTTTTGCAACGTGGAATAATTCGTCTACAGTCATGTTTGTCCAGTCTCGAATATTTCGCAGCCATGACTTCCTCTTTCTACCTATTCCCTTTTTGCCATCGACTCTACCCTGCATGATCACCTGCAGAAGACTATATTTATTATTTCTTAGTATGTGTCCAAGGTATGCAGTCTTGCGTACTTTTATCGTTCTCAACAATTTTTTGACTCGACCCATTCTTCTCAGCACTTCCTCATTGGTGACCCTGGCAGTCCATGGGATTCTCAACATTCTCCGGTATATCCAAAGTTCAAAGGCTTCAATCTTTTTAACTATTTGCGCTTTTAGTGTCCATGTTTCTACCCCGTACAATAATTGCGACCAGACGTAACATTCAACAAACCTCAGTCTCAGCGCAATATTCAGATTTTTGTCACAGAACAATTGTTTGAATTTTAAGAACGCTGCCCTTGCCATTTCTATTCGTACCCGGATCTCTTGGTCTGGATCTAATTCTGTGTTGATGTAAGCTCCCAGATATTTATATTTTGTCACTCTCTCTATTTGCTGTCCACCAAGAGTTAGTTGTTCATTATTTATTGGACTCCTTTTTACTTACCTTACCTTTAGCACAGGTAAATGAGTATATCTATCTAGGACAGGGAATCAGAGCTAATAGAGAAAATCAAACAGCCCAAATATCGAGACGAGTAAGAATGGGATGGGCAGCGTTCGGCAAACTTTCTTACGTTCTAAAAAATCAAACAATCCCTCTATACTTACGAAGC